GGTTCAGCGACGCCCCGCCTGTAGGGCAGGGGCTGGCGGTGCTGGGCCTTCAGCGCTGCCACGGGGGGCGGCAGCAAGGGGCGCTCGCCACCCAGGAGCAACGGGCGCGGAACGGCCCCCACATTCACGATGCCCCGCGGGAGCCTCACGCTGCTGCAGTTGGCTGGGTCGAGGCGCAGGATGCTCCACTCCTGGGGTGGGCTTCGCCACCGCCACAGGCCCGCATGCAGCAGGACAGCCCATCACCGCTGCGGGGACAGTCGCCGCAGCGAGCGGCTCAGCAGCAGCAGCACCACCAGCAGCAGCACGTGCATGAGGGAAGCGACGGCGACCTCAGCCCGATGGGCCGCATCGTGGCCCGAATTTGCCGCTCTGATGCTGCTGCGTCACCAGGCCAGCCGCAGCAGCCCAGCCCGCACAGGCGCCGAACCAGCTGTGACGGCAAACCGCAAGCGCCCTGTCGATGCTGCGCACTCAGCCCACCTGCTGTGCCGTTGGGCGAGCAGTGGGTGCAGCCCATCCAGGCAGACCCCTGCTGCAGATCGCCGAGGCGCGCCTGCATGAGCCCAACCTTGAGGTTCTTGCAAGGGCAACAAGCAGGGCAGGAGCAGGCGCTGCGGTCGCAGCTACAGGCCGCACAGGAGCAGCTGAATGTGACGCGGCGGCAGAAACCACCATTGTGGGCTACACCAGACGCGGCGCAGCAGCAGGAGCAGCAGCAACAGCAGCGGCGGCCGCAGCAGCAGCGGCCACGGAGGGCGCTGTTGTCACCATCAGCGCGGTTGCGGGAGTATGCAGTGAACGGCAACCCCGCCAGCGCAGGCCGCAATGATACCCGGCGACTTGAATGTGACACCTGGACGTCTCCTAAGCCGGCGCCCTGCTGCTGTTCAAGCACAGCGCCGGTGGCGAGCAGCCCACCTCGTCCCTGGCAGGCAGGAGTTGGGTGCACATCAGCGCAATTGCTTCAGCAGCAGCAGCAGCAGCAGCAGCAGCAGCAGCAGCAGCAGCAGCAGCAGCAGGAGGGCGGTTCGCCCGGAGCTGGCGGCCGGCGGACACTCGCACAAGGCAGCACTTGCAACTCGCGTGCTTCCGCCAATTCCCCGCCCAACGGGGATGCAGCAGCCTGGCGACCCCGGCGGCCAGGGAGCGCAGGCTTTGGTAGCTGGCGACCTCGGTCTGTGGAGCTGATGAGCAGCTGTCCAGTCAAGATCACTATCGCTTCCATGCCTTGTGCAGGTGGCAGCGAGTGCTTCCACCGACTGTGACTGCCCCATGGCCTTCGTCGACAGTGCAACTCCCAATATCCGCTCTTGCAAGCACATTCCAATGAAACAATACTATCCATTGGCTGAATACTGCAAGTAACAGCATCAACAGGCGGTCACATGCAAAGGCATCATTGAGAGCAGCTGGTGCGAGCAACAACACGCAGCACCCCATGTTCATATGCTTGCTCCAAGGCCATGGCCACATGATCGCCCAACAGCAAGCCAGGCTGTCAGTCTTTGCGACTGACACAACGCCGAGCTGGTGGCGCACGCAGTCACAGACTAGAGCTAGTCTCGTGTTGCCTACCAGTGTCGCGCTGGTGAGCTGGCCGTGCACGTCAGCAACATGTCACTGGGGGGCCTGAAGAAGTTACCGCACAAAATCGGTTGAGTCAAGTCACAGTGAAGCGCCCTTGACTGACATCATATCCCTACATATGCAGTCCTTGACTACAAGCACTGATTGCGCAGCGTCCACCCACCATAAGATCACTACAGATGTAATCGCCATACTAGAGCTTCCTCCCTACCCAAGACAATAGAGAACTTGTAGTCTCTTAGGCGATGGACTGGGGTAACGTTACGCCAGAGGAGCTCTGGGACGCGTTGCGGGAGGTCGAGTTGAAAGCTCCGCGGGCAGCGTTAGAATTCTTCTCGTCCTTCACAGTCCCCAAGAACCAGATCAAATGGACTTCGCGGCTAAAGTGCAACGGTGTGGTGCAGGATCCGCGACGCCGGTTGCTGCGCATGCGCCGGTTGATGTGTTGATGCTGCATGTGCGTGTGTGTGCGCGCGTGCCTTGCAGGAAGAATGGCGAGGCACGCTTCAGCTCGTGGACACCTCTCGCTCGTCTGCCATCCTCGACTGCACATGTCCCCCTGCACGGCCAAACCTGTCTGGAGAGCTGCGGCACATCAAGCAGCACCCAGCAATGGGCAATCCTCAACAATTTTCTGCCAATCATCGTCCTCTTGAATGCATACGGCACTCTACACTTATCAGTATATTACTACATCAGCAACTACCTCTTGCTGGTGGCCCTGTCCTGCGTGGTCTTCCTCATACGACGGCCGCTGGGGCTGGCGGGGGCGGCGCTCGCGCTGTTGGCTCTGCTGTGCCTCAACGACCCGTTTGCAGCGGCAGTAAAGTGAGCGGCGTGGCCCAGCGCACGCCACACGTGGAGGCGTGGGGGTGGCAAGCAGCGCAGCGATGGTGTGGGGCGGTCGCAGCTGCAGGGACTCTTGCGCTCCCGATTGATGGCGGCAAGCAGGGACTGGCATGACCATTGCATTCGATGTGAAATGGAACTGTTGGTGTCCTCCATTCGCGCTGCCCATCCCCCCCTGCCCATTTCAATAGCGAGGCCTTCATCAGGGCGGTGCGGCGGATACACCCTCACACGGCGTCGCTGCTGCGGGGGTCGCTCGGGTCGTCCGCATCGCAAGGCAGCCTGGGCGTAGGGTGAGCGGCCGCGGGCAGCAGGGGTGCCAGGCGGCAGTGGCAGCCGCAACACGCCGCATGCGCAGCAGGCGGGCCCCACCCTGCCGCAGCTGATCGCTGGCGGGCCCCTTGGCACCTCGCCGTGTCTTGCTGCAGGGGCCCCTCTCGCCGCAGCAGGGGAGGGAGCATCGTATTCCTGCGGCGGCCAGCGTTTGTGGCGCTCGCTCTGGCGGGGGCGCTGTACCTCTGGTATCGCAGCCACGCATGGTTGGGGCTGCTGGGAGCGCTGGCATTAGGTAAGGGCCGACAGGTGTGCTCGCGTGTGCATGCGTGCGTGTGGGCGTGCATTTGAGGTGGATGGCAGCGGCCGTTGAGCTGCGCAAAGCGGGTAGCCGTGCGCGCGTGCGGAGTGGGCAGGCGCGGCTGGGGCAGCAGCGACCCAAGGTGGAGTGGACCTGTGGTGGTGGCGCGGGGCGCTTTTTGTCGACGGCAAGACGCCGATCGCAGCGGCCGGCATGCGCTGTGTCGAATGCACCAGCGAGCTGCTGCGCTGTCGCCAACCTTGCGCGTGCGACCCCTATCGTGCAGGCACAGCGCTGCCCCTGGTGCACGCCACGTTCCGGTCGCCAAACTTAAAAACGCGGCTGGCGAGCGCCCGGGAAGAGTTCAGAGCCGTGTGGTGAGCCCCGCAGCCGGAATGCTTTAGCAGCAGGGGAAAATCTGGGAGGGGTTTGGCGCTGGGGTGTCCAGAAGCAACATCACGGCCACCTGCTAAACGTCTCCGCCACCGCTCTACGCCCATCTTGCACTTGCAGGCGGGGGTACCAGACAGATATGAGTCACGACTACACTTTGTAGAGCAGTGCGCACTTGCCCGGTGGCGCTGCTGCTCTGCAGGTCCGCCTCCCACTGACAGCTGTGCGAAACATGAGGGCGCTTGCTGTGCGCTGTAATGCCCATACCGCTTTGTAACGATAGCCTCCTGTACTTTCAGATCGATTATTGCAACAATGGCCCTCGCTATGCGGAGTTCTGCCGCGACACGCGTGGCTGGTGAGGCCCACGTCAGACTGGGCATGGGCATAACGGTCGCTGGGTCATAACGAGGGTTAAGGATGCTATCTGTAGCTTCTGTCGCTGATGGCAGCGGCCCGAGACGTCCCTAGCCAACGCCAGGGCGATCTCAGATCTCTATTTTTGGCCCATCGCCCTTCTATTGCCATTGGTGGGCTGATGAGGTACACCAAGCTACTTGAATACCATTCCGGCCTCAATGGCCGCGATTGGCGCGGACTTGGGTTGGTCCCGGCGCACCGCCTGATCCCACCCTGCTGTCCCGCGCCCCACAGGCGCGTCCCGCCTGGCCCCTGCGCGCCCGCGCACCCTGACTACCCGCCGCGTGATGGGCGTCCACGAGCTCATGCAGCTCGCCGCGCCCGGCGACGTGGAGGCGCCCATCAGCACCGCGGTCGCCATCGGGGTCGTCGTCACCGTCGCCGTGACCGCGCTGCTGCCGCTGGCACTCAAGCCCGGGGACGACGCTGCCCAGAAGGCAAGGGGCCACCAATGCTCTCTGAACCTCCTGTGGACAGCAGGCAGCAGCGCGCGACGCGGTCTTGCTGATCGTGCTCCCAGGCCCCTCGATCACGCCACTGCTGACCAACATCACCCTGCCCACCCGCCGTCCCGCCCTTGCGCTGCGGCTGTCCCAACATCATGTCTCGCCCCCGCGAGCCAACGCCCCTCCCCCCAGAGCGCCACACCCAGTGTGCCCATGCCCCATGCGCCCCGCCGCGCAGATCTTCGCGGCCAAGGACAGGGCGCCCCTCGACAAGAAGAAGAAGACCTCCAAGCGTTGAGCCGCATTCACGGCCGAGAGGGGCACCGCCCGGCGGCCACCGGGGGACGCCGTGCCATAGGGCCGCCCGCCTGCATGAGCGGCCGCTGCCGCCCCGTATTGCTCCACCCGCCCTTCCTCGCCTGGCGCGCTGATGCGAAGACATCGAGCGCCGCCAGCGGCGGCCATGCTCCCAGCTCGCATGCTGACTGGGCAGCATTTTGTGGTGGCAGCAGGCATTGATTGCCTCGATTTTGCGGGCTTGCATGCCATCGACCACAATGTCTTTGTGATTTTTTGCGGTTCACTGGTGCTGGTGCAGTAAACTCAACTACTTCATAGGCTGGTTGGGAACCCTTGCACACTGATACGCCCCCTACGAGGGTGCGGAGGCAACCCGTCTCCGATGCTACATCAGCCTGCAATTCACACCCACCCTGATCCGTGCGCAGAGTGTACACATACGGCTGTCGACTTGGGTATGACGAATGGGGAGTCGAAAAGCTTGTTGCTTACAAATAAAGGCCAGCAGTACAGTCAAACACAAAGCCCGAGCGCATCGCAGCGCAGACGGTGCTGCACCAGCAGAGCAGCATGCCGAACAAAGCCAACAGGCCCCAAGCTTTGCACAACCTGCACACGAGACAAATGGATAAGTGGGAGCATGCAATCCAAAAACGGTCTAAAAGCACGGGAGGGCAGACAACAGGCGACCTCCGCCTTGACACAAACTCGAGGCCCCACTCACAGACGTGCATGCTTCGGCGGCCCAGGAGCATGCTGCGCAAACAGCCAGCAACTGTGCACAGAAAATCCCCTCTGCAGGCGCGACAATCCACAATGCACATCCACACCCACTTCTTGCTTCGGCCCGGCGGCAGCAGAAACCCCTCCCCGCCAATGATGAAGCCCTCCCATGCCCTCAACCAGCATTAGCCCCGAGCCAGCCGGAATATTGTCAGGAATCTGATGACGTCATACGTCTGACGACATTGGCGGCGTCTCCCCGGCTTCCACCGCCTCGTTGTGGTCCCTGAGCGCCTGCTGAACGCGCGTGACCTCCGCCTCCAGGTCTCGCAGCTCGCGCTCGCGCGGCATGAAGGGCGGCGCGACGTACTGCGACGCCGCAATCGCAGCCACCGAGATGGCGCCCGGCGCGGGGGCGGCGCCGCCGCCAACCCCCGCGCCAAAGGTGTCGGGCTGGCCTGAGGCCTGATGCTGCAGCAGTGGCTCTGCCAGCTGGGCCTGTGCGGCGGAGGAAAGAGGGGATGGGTGGGCGGGGGCCTGAGCCGACGGCAGACGGCACGATGGGCATGGGCATAGAGGCACCTGTTCCAAAATCGCGAGTGTCGATGATTTGTACTGGACGCCCCGCGCCAAGCACGCCGCAGCCGCCCACCAATCCAATCACATCATCACACGCTGCTGGCTGCGCCGTTTCCCCGATCAAGTCGTCCAGGCCCGCCTTGCGCCCCTGCGCAACCCTCCGCACGCAAGGTGCTGTCCCCTTGGGTCAGAGGGTACGACTCACCCCTGACTCATCACCCTCGTCCAGGTCCCGCGCGTCCCTCAGGCTGTGTTTGGGAGTGGATTGGGTGATGAAAGGGAGGCAAAGGTGGCAAGGTGCACACAAGACAGGGTGGAGTGAAGTTGAGTGACGCGGCGTGCTGAAGCGGCCCCTTCCGTGCGTGCCCGGGGCACATGCTATGCTTTTGCAATAAAGATTTATGAACCAAGGGTGGTCAGCTGCTTGCTACTCTCGACTCCCATGCTGCGTGCACCACCATGCGCCGCACCCCCGCCCAGCGAAGCATGACGGCGGCCGCTGATTTGGTGCCGCCTTTCAGCGCACGTAGCGGTCGCGTGAGGCCGGCCGGCCTTTGCTTGGGTTCAAAGTTCAAGCGCGTGGCGGCAGGTGGGGTGGGGGGTGCCAGGTAGGAGGCAGGGAGGAGGTGTGAGTGGGGCCGCACCTGAGTGTCTCCCAAGGCCGCCTGAAGAGCGTCATCGCCGCGCGGTGGTACACCACGGTGACGAGGAACAGCGGCACCAGCAGTGGCGCAAACACGAACCTGCTCGGACACGTCAAGAGCGGGTGAAAATATGGCAGGGAACGGAGTTGGTTTTGTGGACAGGGGGGGGAATGAGCGCTTGACGGCATGCAACGGAGCTGTGCAGCTTTGGTTGGCGAAGCCCGGGTGTCACCAGGTCAGGCTTTATAGCCGGCCGGCAATCCTTGCGTGGGCTGCACAAGGCAGGGCGGTTGTGCTGGCGCGTGCATGGTGAAAGGGCCACGTCCGGGGTAGCTGCCGGCTTCGCTCACCGCTTGATGCTCAGCAGGCTGACCATGACGGCCTGGCGCAATGCAAGGGGGCGGGAGCGGTGAGGAGATGCAGCTTTTTCAAGGGGTGGTGGGCATGAGTGGCGCAGAGGTGTGAAAGGTCAGGTGAGAAGGCGCAGTGAGGGGGTAGGCTGCGGACAATAATCAGCGGTTTCCACGGATGTTTGCAGCTGGTTTGCAGCTTGTTCAGCAGCTTGCTCTGGCCCAACAACACTCGCAAGCGGACAGCTCAGGGTGCAGACCTGCTGGTATGGTGTGGGCGGAAACAGCGCCGCTCGCGCTCGTCCCCCCAGGCCCCGTGTCCTCGACCTCACCACCCCCACCTGGAAAATGTAGAGGGCGGTCATGATCTGGACAAACACCTGCAACAGCAGGAAGGCGATGAGAGCGCACAGGTTAGCGGCGAAGCCATCGACCGCAGCAGAGCGCATGGCGCCTGCAATGGAGATAAGCGATCCTCAGCACATGGCCCCGCATGCAGGCACCCAGCACACACCACACAAGAAAACCTATAAACCACCAGCCAGCCCTCACGTTTGACCCCCACATCAGTGTCCATTCGCATACGCTTGCGCGCACATGCTCATGCACCCACGCACACGAGCCGCACTCCCGGCCGCACCTGCCGCCACATGCGCCCCCCGCTCTCGAACCGCCGCCTGAAGACGTACACAAAATTGTACTTCTCCACCAGCAGGGACATGGCGAAGAATATGAGCATGGACACCAGGATCAGCGGCCTGGGGTGGGGTGGAGGGTGGGGTGGGGTGGGGTGGGGTCATTCGGGCGCCCAGAGGGACGGCAGGTGGAGGCAGGATGTCAGGGTGTGCGCGGCAGCAGTGTCAACAGCGCCGGTCCCTCCATGGGGGGATCAAAGCATCTCACACACCATGATAGTGAGTGTGCTCTGCGTCTGACTTCAATTTGCTCAATGATGATTAATGAAACTGTCCACAATAAGTTGCAGGGGCGTGCACCGTGCGCATCACCATCCCACCTCATCCCATCCCGCTCTCTCTACCCGGTCAAACCATCCCAGCCCCATCCAACAGCCCCTCCCATGCGTGAAAACAGCCCCAGCTCTCACTGTATGCAGCTGAACACGATGCCCAGCAGCATGATGATGGTCTGATCCGGGATGCGGCCCCCAAACGCGCACGTCTGCAGCTGCCACGCCCGTGCGCGCGCGCGGGGCGTGCCCGCGAACGCGGAGCGGATGGCGTAGATCAGGAGGCCGAACAGCCGCAGCAGGCCGAGGGAGCGACCGATCAGGCCGACAAACAGAGTGTCTGGGGGGCGGGGGTTCAGGTGCAGGGGGTCGTGGTGGGGTGGGAGGTGATGGTTGGAAAGGGGCAGGGTGGTGGTGATGGTGGATGCAGAGGTGGCCAAGAGGGTTTCCACACGGGCATGGGGCTGCGACCTGGCAAATGGCCAAGTTCTGCATGCGCAGCGCAAAGGCAGCATGCCGCAGCGCGCATTCATGATGAGTGGCGCCACCTACGGCCGATTGCCCCCCCAGGCTGGCTGCCTGCATCTATCTAGCTGGTGGGGCTAGCCAAGACTCACAGATGATGAAGAAAGAGGCGGTCTGGGGCACGCCTGCGAGGACGCGCGAGCAGGGAGAGGGGTTGGGACGGGTAGGCGCGGGGTCGGCACCAGCCATTCTCGCGAAGGCAGACGCGCGCAGGGCAAACCATCGTCTGCCCAGCTCCGGCAGCTTTGTAAAAGCATACGATCCCGGACTCGCCGGCGAACCGACGAGCGGCCAGCAACACCTTGTACGTGCCCCCGCACCCCTCGTGGGCCCGGGCGGTGCCCACGCCTGCCCTGCCTGGGGCCCACCTGTCCCGAGCAGCGTGAGGACCTGTGACGGGTCCTTGAGCCACGTCTGGACCTGGTTGAACAGCGTGCCGGATATGAAGCTCGCGCCAAACACGGCCAGCACCTGGGGCGGGGCGAAGACGGCGGCGGTCGGGGGGTGGGTGGGTTGGGTGGGCCAGGGTTAGATGGCATCGTTCGTGTGGGGCTGAGTCGTGGTGCAGAGGGGGGGAAGGTGCACGAAGCCTCAGAAGGGGCCGCGGACCCAGACCAGCGCAGCTGCTGCGCGGCGGCGTGCGGGCATGGGGTTGGCGCCGGCCCGACGGCGGGCGCTTCACTTGCCAGCGATGGGGCGCCTCCCTCAAAGCAGCCCTCGCCCCGGTCGCCCGGCCCCATGCCCCTGAAGAAGCCCACATTACGCCCCAGACCCGATCAAAAACCAGGTGCCCGTTCAACACCCGCCCCCCCAAACCACCACCACCGATGCCGCCCCCGCGCGATGCTGCTGTAATCAGATTATCCCGGCCCCCACCTGGAACACAAAGTACTGCGTCGACACGTCAAAGTCGACGTCCGCCTCGCTTACCGCCCCCGCCGACCGGTTCAGCGGGTACAGCAGTAGCGGCAGTAGCATCACAAACAGCCGCAGCGCGAGGCCGGGCAGGACGCCCAGTAGGAGGGAGCGGACGAGCGGGATGTCCAGGATCTTGTCGAGAAACGGGATCTGGCGCAGCCGGTCCAGCTGTCGTAGGGGGGCGTTTGAATTCGAACGGGTGCGGGCGACAGGTGGGCGGGGTGGGAGGGGTCTAGCGGGGCTGATGGGAGGGTGGCATGTTGAGAGCATGGGTTGACAGGAGCCCATGCTTCCTTCAACATGTGATACGTGATCGCTGCTGCCATTGTGGGCTGCAGAAGACGATGGGGCACGGCCGCCCGGTACACGTGCGCAGCAGGGCCAGGGTGGGTGAGACGGGCAGGTATGAAGCCCGCACCTGCAGCAGGCCCTGCAGGGCCGCCACGGGGATGACATAGAACAGCGCCAGCACGCAGATCACGGCCAGCGTCACGTACCGCCGCAGGCTGGGGCGGGGTGGGGACGGGTGGGCAGGAAGCAGGGGGCGGCGCGGCCGCGTAATGTGTGTTTTGTGCGCAGATGGTTCGGGCTGCTGCTCTGCCAGACCTGGGGGTAATGATGTGATATCCGATGCATGCAACATCCCAAGGACATGAAGACAATGTGAATTTTTCAGGCGCCAAGCAGAGGTGGAAAGCAACGCTGTGTGCAGGCAATCCTCATGCAATGCATCCGCTGGGGCAAGGAGCCATCTCCCCCTCCTGCCCGCTTGAAAGGAGGGCGGGCTTCCCCACACTACATGACGCGGCGCCGCCAACCCCGCGCGACCCCCAACCCCTCAACTACCCCTACCCCAAACAAACCCCGTCCCCAACCGCAGCCCTGCCAGGCGGCGCCCTGGCCCCATTCTCCCCTGCCTCTGCCCCCGGCCCCCACACACCTGCGCTCCCAGAGCCTCAGTCGCAGCGCCCGCCAGATCACCTCATCCGGGTTTGGCGCGGGCCGCAGCCGCCAGCACTGCTCGTCATGGGTGTGCAGCGACGTCGCAGCCACCACGGCCGGCCAGCGGGAGCTGCCAGGTTTGTTCGCGCGCACGTGGTGAGGCAGAGGCGGTCAGGTGGCGCGGCGTGCCAGCGCGCCGCGCCGCGCAGGCCGATTCACAAGGTTGAGGTGCAATTCAAGGCCGGCGCGCCGCGCGCCGCGTGAGGGGTGGTTTGCGGGACCGGCACCGCACCAAGGCAAGGCCCGGGCAGGGGCTCGGGCCTGACAAAAGGGGCAGGCAGCTTGGAGAGGGATCTGATTGTTTACACCCCCAAGGCTCGCTCACTTGAAGGTGGCAAACGCGGACGGCAGCGGCCGCTGGCGCGCGGCGGCGCGCGCGTCCTGCAGCCTGCGGTGGGCCTCAAACAGCCAGTCCAGCTGGAAGTCCAGCAAGTCGACCTGGGGATACCATATTGGGTGCGAGTTGCGTCATAGAATTGTCGCAAACTTGAGGGGGGTTGAGGGTGCGAGGGGATACAATAGGGTAGGGGGATTGTGTGTGTTGGGGCGTGAAGTGGGGCTAAGCGGCAGAGAGGGGGTGCAACAGGGGCGCCAGGGGTACGTGGTCTGTGGGTTGCAGGAGAGAGGAAGTTGGCTGGGAGGGATCAGAGGGCAGGAAGGCTACGTGTCTTGCGATGGTGATGCGGCTTGGGACTTCAGTTGTGAGGAGAGAAAGGTGGGCCACAAATATTCTCAAAAGAAAGCAATCCGGCGTCATGCTGAAGCCATAGTGGGCATGCATGCCTTGAATAACCAGGTGAAATGCAGCGCACGCTGGACCCAAGCCGCAACACAGTCGATCAACGATGGCACAATGAGTTATCAGAGCCGAACGATGGACAGGTGTACTTGAAGGTTTTGATGCTGCAAACATACCCATCTGCTTGAAGCATGGCGCTCCCAATGCCCCGCCCAGCCTGCCTCAAAAATCAAGAAACATATCCGTCAAGCGGCCCGCGCCGCACCCCCAAGCCCCACCACCCCAGTGCCCCCCGCCCCGGCCGCCCACCCTCTTGATCCCGGCCCCGTACTTCTGATG